GAAAGAAAATAAATCACAGCATATCTTCAGATTTAGCATTATGCATTAATTAAAGCATTTCAGTTTTCCATATATTTATTGTTATATACATTTCCTATATAAATTTTTATTATCTTTACTATATTCATTAGCCTTGTCTAATTTTTCTTTCTCTTAACTTTTCCTTCTACTTATTGGCTTTTCTAACTTGACTTACTTACTTCTAGATGTATAAACTAGAACAGTTCTCATTTAGTTTCTATTTTGTTCGCATAGAGAAAGGATCACAGTCTCAATCTCGCAGTGAAAAGGAAGAAAGATGTGGACTTATCATACATTATGTACTAGTAAGGCACGTTTGGATGGCAAAACTGCTGTGATAACAGGCGCAAATACTGGAATTGGCAAGGAAACTGCTAAAGATTTTTATAAAAGAGGTAAAAGAAGAAACACGATTGACTTTGTGTTTTGATAAAATATTTCCAAAGACATAAATTATTGACATAAATTATTGACTTTTTTTTTATGAAATTCTTTGAAGTTATTACTTTTTACTTTCTAGTTTTAATATGCCAACAGTTTATAGCACAGGAAACTTGCAGATGTATTGCAGAATAATTTGATTAAAACATTGTAAAAAATATTACAAATTATGGATTGTTGCTGCACTATTGTTATAAGATTGTAGCAACATTAAATATTCGCTTTTTGTATTATTAAAACATCATAATAACATTGCAAAATAATATTCTTTCTGAAAATAATGTTAATGAAGCTGACTATTCTATGTAAATAGATCTTAATAGGATGTTATTATGAAATAAAAAAATATAAAAAATATAAAATTCAGACAAAAAAATTTTACAGAAAAATGCGTTGAAATTTTTTCTTAGCTATATTTTATGATGTTATTAAAAATTCACCTCTCCAAAGATTAATCATGTCTGATATTGTTTAATTTTCGAATATGTGTCTGAATATGAATAGAAATTTTGAAATATATTTGTTTTTATCTGAAAATTTATTACTAATATTGACATATGATAGATTTAATTAATAAATTTTTGTCACATTATCATAAACTTTAAATGATTTAAGTGTCAAATTTCCGATGGCATACATTTTCGTAAGTTTTGTTTTTACAATCACGGATTGACATGCATGCATAATTCAATTCTCGAAATACATTGAAATGTTTGCACACGTAGAGTATAGTATTGCAAATTAATCGAACAAATTTTCATCTATTTGCAAATAACAAACAACATTCTATTAGCTGTTTTTCTATTTCTTGATTGAATTATATAAATTATTTATTTACATATTTGTTTGCATATTGTATTTGTTTATTTGTATTTTTTATTCTTTATTTTTATTCGAAAATAAAATAAAATTATCTATATCTTAATAATTTTTACTATATATGCGTAATAAGTTTCCACACATTTGCATTCTCATTATTTTATTATATTCTTCGAATAGAATATAAAATCTTATAAACCTATTTTTATAATGGTCATGGGAATTATATATTTTTATTAATTTGGAATTAATTTTTTAGCAAAAATATCGATACATACATAAATACACTTATAAATATATGTAAATAACACACAAAGTATTTATTTTTTACAAAGGGTTTTATAATTTAGTCAAGATTATCATCAAATTGCAGAATAAAATAATGTCTTCAATTTTTTTTATACTTTTGTGATGTAGATTATTTTAATAAGACTATTTCTACTACTTTAATAAGACATTATTATTATAAATACTGCTTTAATAAGATATTATTATTATAAAATATATACAATATTACTTACAAATTATTAATATAATTGCATATAAAAAAGATAATAAATTTCACATTTTAGGTGCAAGAGTGATCCTAGCTTGTCGAAATATGGAGAAAACACAAATCGCTATAGAAGATATAAAGTGTAATTCATTTTTAAGGTAAATATTTTTAAGGTAAATATAAATATAAAAATTCTATTTAAACTCATATTAATGTTTAATTCACATATGAAATCTATTTTAACAAGACATGTAAAACTCAAAATCGTTAAATTTTATTGTCCTTTTTTTTCAATGACATTAATTTTATTATAATATATGCCGCATTTGCTTTATCAACGCAGATATTTCAATATTTTAAAACGGAAAAGTTACAAGTTTGTAACTAATTTTAAATTTCTATCATTAAAGTTGACACATCATTTTATTTACATTTAAGGTTGTATAATAATAATAATAATAATAATAATAAAAGAATTTAAAATAAACATATGTTTTAAATTTATATTGTTTGAAACATCAAATAAATAAATTTTATAGGGAACTTAAATTGTAAACAACTACAAACTTTTCAAACTACTAAACAACTTTTTAAATTTTCATGAACAAAAATATCATAACACATAACATATGTAACATATTTAAAACTTAGTGAAATCTGAAAAAGCTGTCTATTAAGATCTTCTTGTAAGTGCAATAATCATTATTAATATTTAGCGCTGAAGATAAACAATTAAAATACAAATTGGGCGAACTTGTGTTCTATCCATTGGATCTCTGCAGCCTAAAAAGCGTAAAGGAATGTGCTAGTATGATATTGACAAGAGAACAAGCCATCCATATATTAGTAAATAATGCCGGTGTGATGATGTGCCCATATGAGATAACAGAAGATGGATTCGAAATACAGCTTCAATCAAATTATCTTGGACATTTTCTTCTGACATTATTATTGTTGCCAAAAATGCAACTGTCTGCTCCAGGTTGCAGAATAGTCAACGTATCATCAGTTGGTTATATTTGTATGTAAAAATAAAATAAAGAAATTAAAAAATGTGAAAAAGTATGAAAAATTTAAAAAAATATTAAATATTATACGAAATAAAATTTATAATACAACAGAAAAAAAATTTTATAAAATAAGTCAAAATAATGCATTATTAGTAGAAATTAAAGCATCTTTTCATGTTTTTGAAAAATATGCAAATTTAGTATTTTATGAACACGCGTGAAGTGATAAGGTCATATGAAAATCATTTTTGTTTTTCAAATAGAGAACGGTATTTTTTAGCAGATTTTGAAAAATGTTCAATTTTTATATAAATTCTTGATACATATCGAGAGAGAGAGAGAGAGAGAGAGAGAGAGAGAGAGAAGCTATATCCAATAATTTATATATTATCTAGCAATGAAAAATCAATTTCGCTAATATCCATCATTGCATGCGTGAATTCATATGTGCATAAACTTGCGTGCTCTTCTCTCTCAAAATCCTATAAATTTTGTCTGGAACATTTTTGTTTGCTAGAATCAATTTTTGAGATATTTCACTGGCTAATTTAAATTGACACTGTGTACATTATATTATATAGTATATTATATTATATATTATATATATTATATAATTTATTATTGGATAATTATTAATTATCTAGATGTAGATAATATAATATAATAATAATAATAATAAAATGATAATTAAATATTAAACAATTACAGTTGGCAAGATACATTTTGATGATATAAATCTGAAAAATTCATATAATTATTTCCGTCCTTGGAAAGCGTATATGCAAAGCAAATTAGCAAACATAATGTTTACGAAGGAACTTGCACGTCGATTGAAAGGTAAGAAAAAAAACCAATCATAAAGTTAATAAAAATTTTAATAAAAATTTTAATTATTTTTAAATATATTATTTTAAAAAGTAGCAACATTTCTTATATACAATTATTTTACATTCTACAATAACACAATAATAAATTTATTGAAAGATGTCAAATTTATTATGTAAGAATTATTTATACTTGCACTTGTAAACATAAAATTTAATATATACATATACATATTAATCTTTTTATTAAAATTAAAATGATTTTAAAAGACAATTGGATAATATATTAAATTAGAGATTATTATTTCCAAATTTTTAACAAACAATAAAAAATGTCGATTATAAAAAACAAGCAAATTAATAAAAATTTCAAATTACAATATTTTTATTTAATAAATTAAAAATGGTTGAATATCAGACAATTGTTATTATATTTTATATAAATTTTTTCTCCAGAGGCGAAAATTAGTGGAATAAACGTATACTCTTTACATCCTGGTGTCATAAAAACCGAATTAGGTCGGAACTTTAATAGGACAATAATCCCAGGAGCCACATTTTTTTTCAAATATATTATGCGACCATTTATTAAAAATCCAAAAGAAGGGGCACAAACAACAATATATTGTGCGGTTGATGAAAAAGCAGCTGATGAAACTGGCCTCTACTATTCGTAATAGCAAATTATATACTAGAAAACTTTTATTGCATATTATAACAATAACATAATTTAATAAATTATAAAATTATTATAAAGCCAATGCGAGCGTAAGGTATAGCTAAAATTGCATTTAGATATGATAAAAATTACATTATGTTTATTTAGTCTTAATAAAAGTTGAAATAATATTAACAATAAAGAAATCTATTAGAGGAAGACATAACGTATTGCACAAAGATAAGAAAAAAAAGCATTAAATTTTTAATTACAAGCGTATCTATATATCTTTTTCCAAAGTAATCTTAGAACTCCATAGGATTAATTGAAGAAAATTGATTGAGAAAGTTGTTGAAATTGAATTGTTTGAAATATGGAGTTCATTCCTTAGGCTCGTATATTAAATGTATAAATTGTAATGTAAACTATAATTACTAATTTTATTTATAAAATAACAAATTTTTGATATTCTTCTAAAATTTAAGACTCTCCCATATATTTTTATTTTTTCAATATACTTGACTTTTATAATAATTATTATATTTTTTTATAGAGAATGCCGTGTTACTACGCCGTATAGGTTTGCAAGAGACGACCAAACAATTAAAAATTTATGGGATTACACTTGCCAACTTCTACATTTGAAATCTGAAGAAAATTTTTCTACATTTTTGGAAAATGTATCACATCAAATTAATGGATTATCAAATGGATCTTCTTTGAATAACATAGAATAGAATTTAAAGCATTTGACAGATTTTTTTAAATATATAAATATATATATAAATTATATTTTTATGTTTAATGTTATATATATATATATATATATATATTAATATATATATATATATATATATATAGTTGTAAAGAAGAAAAAAGTTATTAATAATTTATGTACAAATATGAGTTAAATTTAATAAAAATATATCTTTTTATTAATCTAAGAAAATAGATCATCAACTTTATAAAACAATCATCATCAAATGTGATAATTTTTATCAGTTATTAAATGTATAATATTTACATAAGAGTAATTTTATATTAGCAAAATATTTGATTTTTAACTTAAATAGAAAAAGTATAATTTTAATACTTATTAATGTCACAGATTTTAATAAACATATGACAAACATATTTTATATACATATTACATAATATATATTACATAATATGATTATAATTTTTTGTAAATATCATTATGAAAGCTAACGTTGGTCATATTCTCAATTTGTATATTATATATTAGTATTCATCCTACATCAACTATTGCAAAATAACATTTGCCACTTTTACCATTGACTTCTATTTTCTACGATTTGCAAATGTGCATCAGCACATATAAAATAAAAGCATGAACTTGAATCGATAAAAGCATGAACTTGAGTTATCCTTTTCATGTATTGAAAGATTTAGCATTAGTGTATGCATTGGATTTTCTTGCTGAGATACTCCTAAATACTCATCTAAAATTATGAAAGATGGAGGTTATTCGGTGCAAAATAATAATTATTTGATATTATTAATTTGTATCATCTTCTCCTTTTCATCAGAAGAATTCATCATGAATGTTTGCAAGTCTTCAATTGCTTTATGATATAATCTGCAATTAAATACAAATTTATAGAAGAAATTTAATGAATTAATATAATTATTAAAGATAAGAAGAATATTAAAGATAAAATTACTTTTCAGTTTTGGACATTATTTCACTGAAATTTATGTATATTATTCTTCAAATACTAAAAATTTAAGTGCTTAATCAACATTTATCATGACTTGTTCCATTTTCCACGTATTGCAATGTATGCTGTCTTGATAAAGATTTATTCTTTTCATCTATAAACAATTTGTATCATTATATGGACGGTTTTTCGAATTTCTTCATCAGATCTTAAGTATTTATATCGTAAAATATTAAAACACTTTTAGTAGAAATTTCATTATTATTAGTCTGCGACATCTGCTCAGGAACATTTGTCATAACTGTTTGCTGATTCTGAGTTACTTCATGAAACCTGTAATTGTACATAAGTGGCAGCAAATAATAAAAAACTACACTTTAGAATTACGTTTCTATTATTATAAAAAAAGACATGTATTAACTTCACAATGTGAAATATTGAGTTGATTTTGAAATTGAAATTTTTATCTACAGATTTGAAAAGTTGACTTAAATATTGTTAGAAAATGAATATTTGGATTGTCACGCAATATGAAAATTTCCAATGACATCAAAAAATATTTAATTATTAAATGGGTGATTGCCCATAAAGTTAAATTAACAAATTTCACAGCTTTTCAAATAATTACTTTTAGTGATGAGATTAATTATTAAAAGTAATTATATATAAAGTTTGAAGCGTTTGTATAATTATAATTATAAAATGCTCATAGAAAGTATCCGATTAAAGTATTTAAATAAATGTGATAGCAAACGAATAATTAATATTCAATTTCCAACTTATATACACTTTATTGTACATGATACATTATATATACATTATATATACATTTTATTGTACATGAATTAACATATGCAAGATAAAACAATGACGTTTAGAATTTTTACCATCGATTTCTTTCACTTCCTAATCCGCAGATGTGTACTCTCTTGATAAAATCTTGAACTTGTAATATTCGTTCTATTCTTCGAATTTTGCATCGATATGCCTGCGAGAGCGAGCGTGGCATAATAGACAGCGCATTTGATCTATTTGGTGCTAAAAGTCCCGGGTTCGATTCCCGGCAAAGCCAAAAATATTTACGGTCGTCTTCTCTCGGAAAGCAATGGTAAACCGAGTAGCTCTTCTTGCTCAGGAAGCTCTGTATTAAAAAAAATTGCCGTTCGGAATCGACGACATACTTCTTATTACATATCGCTGTAATTTTTTTCTTTGTGTAGTGTTGTAACAATAAGTCATTCTTCCCTTTTTTTTTACATTTCCACACTTTCATTTCATTTTTTACATCTTCGTTAATGTTTATGTCATGTTTAAATAAATGTATTTTCAGTCCGTTAGTTATTTGTTAAAATAATCATCCCTTTATCTTCTTATGTGGAGTGTATTATAGGACGTCTACAGGAGACATTGTCCTACGCCTTTCGGCTATCCCTGCATATATTTATTCGTGATGCGCGTATTATTAATACGGATATATGGAACCTACAATTTTACGCCGGATCCGAATGGATCCAATATATGGTTTTTTCTCGGCAGAGTTACTCTAGGCGGTTTGTGAGATCTCCGCCAGAGGAGCATCGTCGCTTGTAAATATCATCGTCGGCCGGGGGATTCGAATCCAAGACCACTGGACTTACGAGTCTCGCGCTAACTCAGAGTCACAACGCGCTCGTTAGTTATTTGTTTGTTATTTAGTTATTGTTGTTTGTTATTTAGTTATTGTTGTTTAGTTATTTGTATTTGATGCTTAATAAATGCGACTACAGCAATTACACTTTATTTTATTATCACTTATTTTTGTATAATGTATTTCCATGCCCAACAATATGTTCTTCTGGTGCTTCTGTGCTCTTTCATGCTTTCCGACGATCTGAGATCATACCAATAAATGTCTAACACTAAATAATGACAGTCATATAACAATATTTCAAAACATGCTAAAAACCAACTTTTATACATACGTGTTTACGCGTGTCTATGTAAAATTTGTTATATATGCTATTTTATATGTTGCATTAATTACATGCTGTCACTACAAATGAATTAACTGATGTGCAGTTTTATCGATTAGATCGTTTGGAGATTAACCATGAGAAATTAATTAATTTGAGTTTAATTATTAAAAGTTACGTGGGTATTTGTATAATTACGAGGTCTACTTTTCACTTCAACGATATGCGGATCTAGGAAAGCGTGAAAAGCGAGCAAGGCCAAAGTGAAGGCAACGAGTCCGGCATTGAGTCGCGCGATGCTTGAAAGAAGAGCATAAAGTAACGATGATGTAAGCACCGGTTCCATCGAGGTCGCATTTACACCGCTGGAGTAACGAATATGCCAAATGCAATTTATATAATGGCATATTATATAAAGTTATTTGATAAAATATATCTATTTGGTATGGTAGTATATTTATCTATATGGTAAGATATTATCTATAATTCTTTGGTAGATAGATATATTATCTGTAGTTCTAATAATAAGTTAATTTTGAAAACATTTGTTATCAAAGGATCAATCTATTCGTTTCATTACTTGTGAATTGAATCTATACTGTTTTCTCTTAGCTGTTTCATCTTACTACCACTTTTCCCTTTATATCGTTACATCCGTTATAGACTCTTGTATGTACGCAAATCCACTCGAGTGCATAAAATTTCACTTATGGAATAAAGGAAATACATTTGAGGACAAACAACTGAAAATTTTATTAAGTTTTCTGTATAGAAAAATACACGATCCATCCATATTTCATAAATATCCAAGTCCTTCCATATCAATAGTCCATCATCATTGTGAAGAAACGCTTCGTTTCTATATTTAGAAAACAGTTCGATTCCGTTCATTTCTAAAGATCTTCTCACGCAGGTGCATCAATATTTTCTTTGAATATCTATTGTCGGAATCTCTTTTCTTAGCAAGATGACGCACGTTAAATTGGACAATACGTTTTTCTATTAGGCGATATTACTGACACAAAACTCTTCGTTATGAATGACAGTTTTGTCTGCGAAGAAGTTGCGCTGCGTTTGTGTTCAGTCGAGCGAACGATAGCTTTTTGTAGAATAGATGTTGTAATGATTGCTTATTAAATAAGAACATTTTAAACGGATCTTTTTTTGTTAACGGTTTTTTTGTATCGTATATATGAAGTGTATGAAGTATAGTGTCCTCTTCGCAACAAATGTCTTAAGATGTAAAGAAAAGAATCACTTCTAATAAAAAATATTTGATTTTATATGAAAAACTTTATTAGAACATTATGATATAATTACCAAATGATATATATAATCATATGAGGCGATAGAAAAGTAAGCATGCGTAGAGATACCCTGCATAGTTACTTTTTACCTTATAAATATTTTGTGATCTGTAATATTTGTCTACTTAAATAATTTAATAAATTTCTTAATAATTTCGTCGTTTCTGGGATCAATGATCTCAGGGGTGAACGTCCGGCGACAAGGATATGCAGACATCTTCGAGGACGATAACAGATTCACGCGCCCACGTTACTTTATCTGGCATAGTTCCGTGTACTTTGTGTGCGGTAACGGTGCGAAGTCTTAAGTCCAGCAATTACGTCATGCGACGCCAGTGTTTGTCGTGGAAGGCAGACCAGATCTAGTTCCATCCAACAAGTAGGCGGTTTGCCATGGAAACAATATTCCGCTATCCAGCCATAACAGTCGCAGCACGAGTCTGCTTGCATAAATTATCACCAAAATTACCATGAATTCCCACAATTATTCGCGGCAATTTAGCAACGTTTTCACAGGTGAGATAGAAGAAGAAGATAACGATGTCTCTATACCCTATACGCCATTCTCTTTGAATTTGTAATGTAGCAAATAACAGCATGATATTGTTGATTGAGTTTAAATTTTCCTGTAAATAAGAGAAATTTGTAGAATAAAGAAAACTCAATAACTTTAGAAACATAAAATGATAAATAATATGTTGTCTTTGACTTTTTTACTTTTTTTTTTTTTTTTTTT